GTATCTCCCTGTCCTGAGGACTGGGTAAGAAAACATAAAAATGAGATGAAGATAAGAGGTCATAATGACAGCTAATTAATTACCTTCTGGGTTGGTTTCAGAAAACAAAGTTTATTCTTGTTTCTGAATCTCTGTGACTTGGCTCCTCCTGTTCATTCTTGAATTACTTTGCTGTTTAGGAGCCAAGGTTATTGCACTGGTCTTCTACTCTCCTAGTGTGGCTCTCTCCACTGACTTTTTATTTTCTGTTTTTTCTTCTTCAGGCACAGTATGTCCTGATTTCTCCTGAGGTAAGTAACCAGAAAACAAACTACTGACAGAAATGAGAAAGTCCCACTTTAAAAAAAAACCCCTATCATCAGCATTATAACAAGCAATGTTATTTTACAGGATCTATCAAGATTTGGGAGTTCGGTTATCACTGTGAAATCTGAAAGAAAGGTGAGATAAATTACTGTTGTTGGTTGCTTTGTAACATCTTTCTACCTCATTTTCCTATACTATCCAACACCTCACATATGTATCTTATGTATTTGCAGAAGTCTTAAGTGCTTTACGTAGTTAATTAAATTTTCATTTAAGTCACTTTCTGAACTGGTAATTAAAACTATTTTATTGGTGGATGGAGTTGCCAAAATCTTTGCACCTGACACCCAAATTGACAGAGATCACTTTAAACCAGCCTGAAAACTAAACTACTTAGGAGTTTGCTGAAAGGTTGCATGGTAAATCAAGAGTAGGTGCCAACTGACTTTACTGTTCACACCAACCTGTACGCGAAGTGGATGCTCAGCTATGGAGTAAACCAGGCACTGAACCAACCCTCTCATGTAGTACGTACAGGCTCGCTGTCCTAGCTGTCACTTGCAGTGAACGCTGTTTGTACGTCAGGTATTTCCAAGTATAGAGGCCCAGTTCTTACCTGAGTGATTCTGGATGTGTTTGTGTACTTGCTTCTCATTGTTTCCCTCGGATGCCTGTTATTATATGCACAAACTTGTGCATAGGAAGTTCCACCTAAGCATGAGGAGTGACTTCTTTACTTTGAAGGTGGCAGAGCACTGGCACAGGCTGCCCAGAGAGGTTGTGGAGTCTCCCGCACTGGAGACATTCAAAACCCGCCTGGATGCTGTCCTGTGCAACCTGCCGTAGGTGACCCTGCCCTGCCAGGGGGGTTAGACTAGATGATCTCCAGAGGTCCCTTCCAACCCTGAACGTTCTGTGATTTCACCAAAAGCCAATCCTTTTGTATGCTGCACTGAGGAACCTTTTTTTCGGCTTGAAGTTTACTTAGTGCTTGTTCAGCTGCAGGGAGTCCAATATTCTGCTTACTCGGGCATAACCTGTGTGAGAACTGAGAAAGTCTCAGTACTGGGCTGAGGAGGTGTGTGACTGGTGTTCAACAAACGGTGTCTGACTTCTTGCTGTTAAAACACGCAATGGAGAAACACCTGGAAATGTAAATGCTTCTGAAGTAGGTTAGGGTGCATAATCCAACACCTGAAACACAGGCATCGCTGACGGTTTCTGCACAAGTACAAGTAAGGCTGTTCTCCAAGTGGTTGTGTTCCACTATGGCACCAAGCCAGTCCACACTCCAGCTTCATCTGTATTATCTTACCCCTGAGAAACAGTTCATATTGGCAAGAGATTTATTTGACTGGTTCCAGCTTCTTCCATTTCCCCAAATGAAATAAAGTCTGTTTGCCAAATCGTTTTGTTAACTGCTATTCTCATGAGGTGGGTTGCTCTTGTTCCTCCTCATCACATTTCTATATGACCCTAATGATATGGACAAAATCTGGTTTCTCTTAGGGAAGCTTAAGGCAATCATGCACCTGCAGTTCATTTTGCTAACCCTTGTTCTGTATTTCTGCAGAAAGAAGTTGTAGTGGCAGCAGAGAGAAGTTCGGCGAAAGCTCGACTTGGTGGACGGCTTTTTGTCTACTCGCTCTAAAAGTTCACGGTAGCCTTTAAGACCAGGGCACAGCTAGTCTTTTAGTGAAGAATGTCTGTAGTATCTGTGATACTTTCCTTAACCTGTACAAACCAACAGACCACAGGACAGCAAACTTTTGATAGCTAGATATCCTGGCTAGCTAGATAGGGTCCTAGATAGTATTAAGGGAGGGAGGGATGGTCACTATTTTAAGTGAAGGGGAATAAGAGCATTCATGGTGGTTTGAACTACAAACCAACCAAAGCTATGTCAGTCATGTAAAAGCACAAATTAATTATGTTGTGAGCAGTGGCATCATTTAAGTTAGAGCAAGCTGGTCTGAAAACCTTAGAGGCTGAAATGAGCAGAAGACTAGATTTTGGAATATTTAGCTGTATAAGGAATGTTCAGTGGTCACCTTCTTTACTGGTCAGATTGGAGTATTTTCGTGACAAAACCCATAGTTTACCGTTCCTTATATACTGTGATACAGACAGGGATTCTAAGATATCAAAAGTTGCTGTCAAAATAATAAGCGTGGCAGAGGGGCAGCTGTAACCCAGACAGAAAGGTAGGTGCCAGTCAAAAGGGCTTTTGCTTTCACACTCACGACTGAACCTACTCTGCACCCGTTCTTTGTGTTTTCATGTAAAATTCCATAACCATGGTTAACTTAGAATTGTTAACAGCTTTTATCGTTAACAGTATTGTCTTCAACTAATTAACACTAATTTTGTATGAAGCAGGTTTAATAGAGTGTGCATCAATTATCTATTAAACAACTCGAGCAGCAAGATGTGATGCTATTATTACTGACGCTAGTCCGTAGACACATATGTATATGAATTTTCTCTCTTGCCTCCTTCACAAACATAAAGCATTATTTCTATTATTTTAAATAGCACAAGTCAGTGGAATAGCACAGAATTCTAAAGGTCATACTTCAAGATGACACACCTCAACTTACCTTTTTAGGAACTGTCTCTCTTAGAGAGGTTTTTTTTTTTAAAAAAAAAAAGGCAAGGTGAACATTAGCTTGATGTATACTACATTCTGACATCTATTTTGGAGACTTTACTTACCCAAAGAGCAGAACACTTAAAAAAAAGTCTAAAATCTGAACTTTATGAAAGAAGTAACTGTATGGAACTGGGAACACAGTACTTACCCTAGAAATTTGTGAACTGTAGTGTGAAGCAAAACAAGCAGTGTATTTCTAAAGGCAGAATAAAAACAGTTTTTCTTTTTAAATGAAAATTGATGAAACCAGTATGTTCTGTAGCAATCCCATGCTGAACATACAGCCTCCACTGGCTTTGGTTTTTTTTCTGTGTATGATCTCAGAGTAATTTTATTGCACATGAATGCATTTTGGTTACTTGAACTGCAAGAAAACCATTAAACATTTGTGTATATCCGTAGACAGAAAGGCAGTCTTGTAAAAGATGTGCCTTTGTCACGGTGCTTTTATTGTGCTTTAAGTCAGTTATATACAGGAAAATGAGTCAATACAGTTCACAGAAGCCTCTCTGCACAAAAGACAGAGCTTGGAAATCTTACCTGAAAGCTTCCCAAACAGCTGCACCAACACATGTCAGTCCTGACCTAATGCAACTACAGCTTGGTTGAAAACATCAACATCCATATCCCTTCAGGTACTGGGCTTTCCTGGGATTTATAAGCCAAGGTTTGTGAGCCATTTTTTTCCCCGCTGGATTGCTCAGTTCAGAGGTTTTATTACATCTCTACCTGCTAGCAAAAAGGCTGCAAAAAATCAGCTAAAAAACCTCAAAAACATTACAAACCCCATTAATTTTTTCACCTTCTCATGCCTTTTATATCTGTAGTTGAAGTCATATACAGAGCAAGAACAACTGAAAATAAAATGGCATAGAACTGATTTTAACCAAACTAGGATCACCAGCCTGCATAATTTTAATTTATGTACCTTTTTGTTTTCATTTTTGACTCGTTAGCCCTGAGCAAAAAGGTTCACAACTAGAGTTACTGTCTTTTCAACCCCTGCCAGTACAGTGATTTAATCTGGTGACACCTAAGGAGGTACTCGCTGTATGTTCCAGAGAGGTTTCTCCCAAACAAGAAACAGAGTTAGTGGCCCGATTTAGAAGGATTTCATGCTCCCTCTACAGACTGAGAGAAACCAGCAGAGAACTATGCCCTCAGAGTTCAGAGAGAAGTCCTAAGAAAAAATACAAATAGTGGGCATAAGAATGTTACTCCTTTCTTCAGTCCATCACAGGACACCAGGCTTCCACGCCCTTTACTAACCCAGCTACTTACTGTGATGCAGGCTAGTCCATGCTTTGTCTTGCCTCCTGGGAGAGAAAAGAGAGCGAGCAGAGCCCAGCTTAAGAGAAACCAACTGGTCTGTTGATTTTTACCAGCACTTGAATCAGTCCTTATGACATGAGGAGTTGTTAAAACTGCAGCTTTATCAATGCGCGTTGAAATAGTGGCAGATGGCAAGCACAAGTCTGCATTATCAATAGGCCCGCTTTTCCTTTTCCTCCTTTCAGTATGCAGTTACTGAAACTGCATACGTTTTGGGCCTAAATTAATTAAGGATAATAGCTGCATTTCAAAGCCTGTTATTACTCACTTAAAATGAGGGAAGCTATTATTTCTGGTTACTGCCAATTTAGAGGTGATGCTTCACAAGAGATGCAGGTGTGCTTTCTGCTTTGGAAAATCTGTTCTCCGCAATTAAATACAGCCTAAAAAAAATCCATTAAAAAGGCCACTTTTGGGGTGGATTTTTCTTTGACGTTTGAAGTCAGATTCCTAAATCTACAGCTCAGAACCAGAATTATTGATGAATGCTGACTGCTGTCATCCTTTAAGCTGGAAATACCATTCTCTTTAAGAAAGGCAATTACATGAAGAAGTATTTGACAGATAAACTTGAAATGAGAATGCCCCAAAAATAAGTACATGTATGTGATACAGAAAACTAATGGAACATACATGAGGTGGAGGTGAGACTACTGTGGAAAGCATGTTGCTGTTTTCCCTTGTGTTTCTCTCCTTTTGTGTGTGAGCATTAAAATTTCACCATGGGTTTTTGGCACAAAATATATATTAAATTAGCAAGTTTAGAAATTCTTGCAGTTTTCAGTAAGGAAGAACAAATGCAAGGAAAGTGTCCGAAGTCCGTAAAGCTGCTTCTGCTCAGCCCAAATGTTTCTGCTTTAAGGTTGTTCTTTAGTTCCACTCTTCCAGCTGCTGGTTGGGATTTTTTCAAAATTGCAGGAACCTAGGCAAGATACAAAACAGCCTGCAATTACATGAGAAGCTGCTCTATATGCAGCAGAAGGAAAGAAAGCTTCACAGAGGCCTGAACCATGATATTTCTCCTCTTATTTTCAGAACACTGTCTCAGGCTTCTCCCTCTCCAATTCCTTTCAGTACATTTCTCCAAGCCAGAGTCAGTATGTGCTGGAATTGGTTTTGAGCAACATTTGAGGATAATCCAATTAGTTGTAGCCATAGTCAACAATCCACAATGGACTGCTTCCATCTGCCTCTTAGTGACAAGGGAGGGGAGAGAAGAAGGGGACTCCATCTGGGTCTCCCTTTCTTTTGTTACTTGTAGCAACTTAACTTTTGAATGCACTGATACTTCCCTGTTATAAATATTAGAATGCAGAACAGAGGTAGGCAATGCAGTCCCACAAGCTTTGGCAGCAAAAGGGTAGTTAGTCAACAGCAACAATGACCCACACAAAATTTCGCTAAGAAGAAGACGGGTCTCCTTGGAAATCTTCATACAGCTTGGTACTACAGGGCTCTACAATGCCATCAGCATCAATGGCAAAGATAGCTGGTGTGCGCGTGAGGAGATATTGCAAACTTTGGACTGGGAGTCAGGACATCACAACCATGGCATCATTCTCCAGAGATGTTACAGCTAGTACCTGTCCTCATTGTCCTTTTATCTTTACCTTCTCTTTTACAAGACAGGGACTACAGAGCTAGAGTTAGTACCTGGGTGGGAGAAGGGCAGCATCTGTTATGTTTCTTGCTATGAACAGACTGCTGCGGCACTTGAGAAGGCAAATTAGGGCTGCTTCTACCACTAGTCTCAGCTTCCCTTGGGCTGCCAGGTGAAAGTAAACACAGCGTGTCTCGAGGAACAGCCTGCAGCTTCACTTCTGGCAACAGTGAGCAGCATCTTACCACTCAAGTGTATCTTTGCCAGTGCTGGGGCTTCCCACCTCGTTCAATCCAGCTAGGGAGAACCTTCTCCTTTGTCAAGGAGAAGACACTGAGCTAAACTCTCCCATGCTCTGTGGCCCACTCCTCTACAACATCTTATTTCCTGCTTTAGAAATGGACTATACGTGCAGAGTGTGAAGCAGAAACCCCAGCCAGCCATACGTACGTGAGGAGGTAGTGGAGGTTCTAGGTGCCGCCCAAGGAAGGAAAGCAAGCGTCGCCATATCAGACCGCTTCCCAGAAACATAATCCCTGTCACCAGCCAAAATATTCTGGGGTCCTACCAACAGAACACTCACATTAGTCATGCAACTCTCTCTTCAGAAAAGCCATTATGCAAAGATAATCTCTTACTTCCCACCAGTGTTCTCCTCCTTTATGGGAGGAAGCGGTAAACTCTCGACCATCAACAGCCAAGCCCTGTCTTGTGAAAAGGCCTGTTTCACAGCAAAGCATTTTATTTAGGAATCAACCCACTATATTCTGTTACTGTCCCGTGCACTTTTCCTTCCTTCATCAAGAATTTTGGAAATTCAACCCTTCTGTTTAATGGATTTGGAAAGGAAGAAGTCTTTGCTTTGTTTTGGTTTGGTTTTTTTTTTGTTTTAAAGATAGCATGTGCAATTGTAAATTCGTACCCCCCAGTCTAGGTACATACACGTAATTGACAGTAGAATATTTCCTCTGGTGTGCTGGAAGTGCCCTGGCTGCTTGCCAGATACCCTTGTATCTGGAAGACAAAGCTGGTCTTTTCATAAGAATAGATGATCATTAAAGAAACCTTAATACTGCTTTATAGTCAGTCCTTATACAGCCATAAATTTGTCTTCCTGTTTCTTTTTTATGGTCGTTACATAGAAAAAAAAGCTGCAATACTGTGCAGTTAGCCAGACAGTAATTTGCTTACAAAAAAAGTGACGTAATGAACACACGGATCACTGGGCTAAATTATGTTCCCACACTAATGTAAATAGGGAACTTTACCTATGGAAAGAAAGAACTTGTACTGAATATAAAATGCACTATAAGAGTAGGGCCCATGTTTTATGTCACCGATAAAAGCAGCACTTGTTCCTTACCTCTTCAAGAGATGACTCCAAGTTCATACCAAATGCAACTCCTATGAGTCCAAAGAGAGATAGAGAGAAAGTCCCCATAGTCAGCTGCAAGTTCAGTCTCATCATCACATTACGGTGGCTAAAGAAGGGAGAAACATCTGTAAGAGGAACCCAAAAATAGATTTGCTGCCTAAATTCTCAAATTCCATACAGCATGCACTAAAACCAGTGAAAGAGAGGAAGTCATGCTAGAATTAGGCAACCCAGTGACAAAGCTCATGGAACACCAGTATAAAGAGGCTATCGTTTTGAAATTGCTGCATCAGGATACCGCTAAGGCAGCAGGTTCTGCTTAATCATCAGCAGACTTTCCAGCATTTCTCACTTCTTAGAGGTGTATATACACAGAGTAACAGTAAATTTCCATGGAAATTTGTGTCCTTTGACCACTAACTGGCTGGAATTGATATGTGTACTCACAAGAAATGAAAATTTACTGTTACCTTGCAGATGAATATACTCACAAAGAAGTAGAGTGGGTAAATGCTGCAGACTATAAACTTGACTTTGTTTTGCAGAATTCCATATTCAAGTCTTCCCCAAAAGGATTGTTGTAGTTTCCTGATGCAGCATCCACCAATTGCTTCTATAGATAACTCCCCAGTAAAGGGGAGAAAGAGTATTAAACACTGACCTCAAAGACAGTGTGGCATGTGCTTGCAAATGCAAGCTACAATTATTTTTCAGTGAGAAAGCTGAATAGTAGTGAAAACTGTAGCATACAGAGAGAAACTGCTCGCTCCAGAGTTACTGATACTTGTATCGCTCTATAGAGTGATAACGCAACTCTTACTGAACACCTGAGTACCCTAGCCAGACTCTTAAATAATTCAGTTTTGCCAAATTAAGAGTAAACTTTCCTGAGTAGAATTTTCTTTGGCCCTTAAATTTGCAGATACTTCCTTTAGTGAATAGCTCCCCAGAAGGATCTAGGAGAAGCCTGGTTTCTCCTGCTAGGGAAAACCGATGCCTAGCTAGAGAGGTTTTTACACGTACTAATTAGGGTGTCTTGTTGCTTAGCTGTATACAGTTCACTCATAAGAAAAGTGCAATGCAGCTTCTTGTGCTGTGACTGCAAGTCCATTCAAACCCTCACGAAGATGGATTTCCCCAACTTTCCTTGTAGGCAGATTTGAGAAAGACTAGGCAGCATTATATTCTGCACGGCTTTTGGTAGTCCAACAGCTAGAGTAGCTAACCTGTCCAGGTTGATAAAAATTATGCTTTCTGAGTCGTCAATCAGTACTCTGAGTTCACGAGCTTCATTTGCAAGATCTTCTGCTTGTCTGTAATAGTTCTCCAGCAGCAGCTCCATTTCCTCTGCATGGTCAATCCCAGATGTACTCTCCTCACTGTGAGCAACAATTTACATGTTTCTGGTTAGCTACATGTTGTACAGAGGTGTATTATTGATGTGTTAAGACAAGGCGCATAAGAGTTGTGGGAAACAGCCAACAAGAGTGCTGTTAAACACCAGATCTCAAAATCCAGTCTTTTCAGTGAGGAACTTCCATCAATACCAACAGCTTAAAATAAAAGGCATATTTTTGTATCTGTGAGCTGATTAGCATAGGCAGTCAATTATTTTGAGTAGACCAGTTAGCATTTGATACGCTCAAGGCATGCACACCACACAAATCTTACTTTTTCAGATATTAAAGAGTTATAAAGTTATATAAATTTTATATTACTTATATTTTTTATATTATCATACTTTTTTTTATTATTAAGTTATTATAAAGTGCTGACAATTTTGAAAGGAGATGCTTAATTTCTTGGTGCCCTCAAGTGGTGGAAGCCGGTAACAGCGCAGTCAAAAACTCCCAAGAACAAAAACCAAAGGTCAACACACAAACAATTATATGGTGGGGGAGATGTTTTAGGTGTGTATTTAAATAGTTTAGTTGTAAGGTGTTTCAGCTATTCACCGTAATTACTGCAAAACGTTTTGGGAGCATGAAGCAGCTGAAGAGTGAGTATCAAATGGAAGATGCTGCCCTCCTAAGTGAAGTCTGAGAGACTTTCATCTTATTTCATGGTCCAATTGCTGGCACAGCAGCCTTCTCTGGAAAAGGTATGTACATTTCTCGTGGTGTACTGGATTGTTCACTGTGCAAATGAAAGCTGAGGCACCTGAAATCCAGCGGAGCTTAGAAACTAGCAGCAAAGCCAGGAAGATTCTTCATCATTTTTTCTTTTGTGGCACGACCTTTTTTCTCCAGAGAAACTAAACTTTTTAAAGAATCTCCTCCTGGCATAGCTGACCGTTAAAGGAACCTCTCCAAAATGGTTTTCCAAGAAAATAAGTGATATGTCTTAAGAATCAACCCATGTAAGCTCCCTGAGGACCTTTAACCTTTTTTTCAAGCTTTAACCCCTATTTCCTCTCTTATGGGGCAGAAACTTTGAGTTACCTAGGACAATTTTAAAGCCCTTCAGACCTTGAGGTTTTTATTGCATGCAGATGAGAGAAGTTGCAGACTAGAAAGTCTTAGAGCACTGTCTGCTGTATTACAGATTCACCTCAAGGTCTTATTTGATGAGTATCTTTATATCGGCTCCTCTGTGGATATACAAAGGGAAACAACAGGCATAGGGACTTGAAAATAACTGCCACCTGATTTGCTTTCATTAACTAGCCTCCATCTGTCTCATGAGTCCCTGACAGTCTGCCATCCCTTCACACAAACATACAATGTCTGTCTCGTCTTTCTGGGCTCATCTCACCGTTCCTGCTGCAAATGATCTCTGACAGCACCTACATGCCTAACTGGGCTCCTCCACACCTTCTCTGGCTTCTTGAGTTCATCAAATACCACACATCACCTGCATCAACCCTGGAGCCAAAAGAGCTGTCCACACCCTGCCAGCTTGCCTGAAAAGGTGCTGTTGTGGCTAGCATTTCCTGGTGTGTCTCGTGCATCAACTGCCTCACTGCATCCTGTAGCACAACTCCAGCACTCTTTACATGACCTCCCACCACCTCTCCTACCCTTGTGCAACGGTGTCTGAAAGAAGGGATGACTTCAGGTTTCTCTTGACGTAGGAGTATGGCGACATTGGTATCTTTCCTAGATGTCCCCTACGCATTCTCTACCATGAGGCAAGGTGACATTTGCCAGCAGCTTGTATTAAGTCCAAAGGAAGGTTGTGAACCAAACCAGGATGAAGACCAGCTGCTGGCTCAGGAGCAGCCTGCAATTCAGAGCCCTCCAAATACTGCTCCAGCAGATGTATTAGAAATGCAAACTGCATCCTAGTTCTGGAATACTGAGTTTCTGCTGCACTAAGCAGACTAAGCTCTGCAGGGCAAGTAACTACCTCCTGATTTCAAACCCTTGCTACTGTGTGAACAGTATTAATATCCACATGCAATGTAGTTAGGCAAAAGTATTATTCAGTAACTTTGCAAAGGACCCCAAAAGCTAGTTTCTGTTATCTGCTTAAACATAAAACATGTCTGTATGCCCAAGATACATACAATACAATTCAGCCCAAAACATATTACGATCCGATACACGTTATCTTTTGCTTTTTAGTTTTTGTTAAAGCAACCCCGCTGCTGCTGCTGCTGCGTGCTGTCTTTCACCAAAATTTGAGAGAGTGCAATAGGACTATTTCTGCAGGTACATTTTTCATGAAATGCTGCTCTTCAGGTGCACAAGAAGATTGCCTCTTTACCTTCAGGTTCTGCTAGTGAGCAAAAAGCTAGAAGAACGGTGTTCAGAACACTGCCAGCAAAAGAAGTGTGGTGTCTGACCTATTCTAGATAGGCTTTAAAACCTGCCTCTTCATTTTTTTTTGGTGTAACTGAAGACAATTATCCCAGAAAGCGTTAATTTGTATTGGAAAATAACTTCCACTTTTTCCTCCTCCTGCCATCCTACTCCCACTCCATTACATACTAGATGAGCTGGCCTATTATGCCAAGATCTATTTGAAATTGCATAATGTGACTAGTGCTAATCGAGTCCCTCTCCAAAATGGCAAACACACTGATTTCTGAAGCAGCAAGTATTAGGGCTTAAAAAAAATAGAAAGTCTTTTTCTTTCTGCTTTTTGGCAGGGAACACCCAGTTTACTGTTCAAGTTCTCCTTAAACAAAACACACTGTTAAAAAAGCATGTGGTTTCAAAATATACATACAATACTTGCGGATCAGTCCATTTAGACAGACAGAGCTCTTCTATTAACTCTTCTTCATCTAAGATCTCCAGAATTGTTTCTTTGAAAACTTTAAGATCTGTTTCCAGTTCTGACAAGCTGAAGAAAGAACAGGCAAAAGGTCAAGTAATCCCCACTGGCACCAGTGCACAAAGGTAATCCCTAAGTGAGCCAGCCAGCACCCTCACCAGATGGAGTGGCCAGGGAAGGCTTCCCTGCAGGGTTCTAAGAGCTCCTTCAAAAAACTGTCTACAGGGCACACACTTAGTGTGGTATGTCTGGGGACCAGAGAGCTACAAACACACACGAAAAGGTATTCAGATGTGTTTTCTGGATATATTTGTGAGTCGGAAAAAACAAGCACTCCGTGAGCATATAGCGAGTGCATATTTGCACTGTCGTATCAGAGAGGGGAATACATAGAGGTACCAGCGTATTAGTACTAGTCTTAAATCACAGATCCGAAGGCTATCTTGTTTTACTTTATGGGGAACATTTTCATGATGTTATTTTGTTCTCTTAGGTATTAGTTTGTTCTGTCAGATGCTATTTAAGAAGCTTGACTGTATTTCTGACAACTTGGAATAGATTTCCCTTTTTCCGTTTCTCCCCGTATCACTAGGTATTTTGTATACCGATTTTTAAGCATACAAACAAGATGCACAACCCAGCATTACAGTAATCTAGGAAATTAATATTAGATACCATTTTTCTAACATTTCATCACACATAATTTTCTAAGGTCATCTTCTAGTCTCTTCACGGCTTACTCTTATTTACCTCTTGCCATTTTGCAGGAGAATGTGTAGTTTACTCCTATCCACAGACAAAAGCTTGGGGTCCACTAGAGCTTCCAGTGTCTCAAGGATCTGAGGCTGCAAAGTGTTAAGTCTCCCCTGCAGTTTGCTGATCTAGATAACAACATGATCCTTCATAAGAATTAAAGCAATCCCTTTAGAATGACTTGGGCAACTGACTCCTGTCTCTGAACACAGAATTGACAGTAATAGGCAGTGAACACAATCTGCTTTCCAATGCCCAGGAAATACTTGCTATAGGGATACCACTTACAAGATAAACCCAGTGCAAAATACAATATTTTATAAAAGTGATTTGCACTGAACTGAAACCCAGTGACAACCACACCAATAAGGCTGATAAAGCTAAAACACTATTTGTCTAGAAATGTCATATTAGCATTAACAAGCATACATTTTTAAGGATAGTTAGAAATCATTATCTGACTCCTGCCCAAGAGGCCAAAAGCCTCAGCACTTTCATGTGACTTCCATTTCGGCTACAGCATGTCTCTAGAAAGGTACTCTGACTTGTTTTTTAATTGTCCAAATTATGGTGAAGCCATCGCATCTAATTAGCACTTTCTTGGGAAGGGAATGGAAACACACATGCACACAAACCCATAAAAACTAAAGCAACAAAAATGAAAATGAAACAGGAGCTCCTACAGTAAGAGCAGAACACGTATACAAATGTGTATGTATAAATATTAACACAAGAATAAAATCATACTGTCCTTTCTATGAAGCAACAACTTCCAAAACAATTTAAATATGAGATAGCTCACCCGGTACTGCAGGATTGCTTCTATGGCTCGGAATTCAAAGGGCAAGGAATATGTAACTAGTTGACCTTCCCCAGCCAGCTGAGATGCTAGTTCATTGAAGAGCCAGTGTTCCAGATTTAAATTACGATAATCTAGTATCAGAAGAAACTCTGGTGTTATGACAGCCTTCAAGAACTGAAAAAGACAGTACATGCAGGAGTCTGAAAAAAAACACCTCTCTGAAGATTTCTCATAACTCTGTAATGCATTTGGTAATTTTGGCTTTGATAAAGCCACTCTTCAAGTGTCATTTCAGGCAGGAAAATAAAAGAATCTCATGCGAACTGCAAACTAGTGGATTGCCCTTGGTTCAGAAACAGCACTATGCTAGTTGTGGTATGATGGAGAAGAGGTTCCTCGTAAGCCTTTACTTCTACGGCAATGTTAGCAATGTTTCTCCTGTGCTCAACTAGGAAAACAGTCATTAATATGTATTGTTGGTAAGCCCATACCTCTGATTGCTAGGTAGAGCTCCAAAGACACTTTTACTGCATGTCATAGAAAGCTGGTATTAAAAGAACCGTGCAAGCAAATGCAAGTGCAAGGATAAGACATGGTTCAAGTTACACTCAGCTGCAGGGAAAGTATTACCTCCATTCTCATGATGATCCTGTTGTTCCTAGTTGCAATGCTCATTAGGTGTTGAAATCTTAGATCTCGAGCTTGGAGACCCAATTCCTGGTATAATTCTGTTTTCTTCTTTTCTATCATAAAAATATTTTTAGATGAAGACATTTAGGGGATAAGCATATATGTTCTGAAATTACACTTTAGTGTGTTACTAAGTCCCACAAAAGAAAAAAAAAAGCTGTGCTATCTCTAAAACGGTTTTCCTCCCATTGATTCCTCAATGTAATTTATTTTTTTACAAAGTTTAGAAGACTGTACCTTGAGTAGAAAGAGAAAAATTCTAGATATAATAAAAAAGTTGGTCATAACAGTTAATTTAATAAACCAAGTGACTCGTTTGAAAAAGCACATGCAATCCTACAGGAAGGGAAATACAAGGCAGGGAAAGTAGCATGCTGGTCACAAAGGGAAAAGTCAAAGTAAAAATTACCTTCCTGTGAGAGACGGTAAATGTTATTTTTAAAGTATTACTAAAAAATATGTAACATTTGTAGCAATAAAGATGCTATAAAGACCAATAGAAGGCAGCGAAACAGAGGAAATGTTGCAACATCCCAAATAAACACAGTGAAGTATCCCAAATATAATTTTCTACCCCATGTAGATTCCCAGTTGGACTTTTCTGTTTAGACAAAGAAAAAAGACAAACAAAAACCAACCAACCAACCCACCCTACAATGAAAACTCACCAAAATAGGTAGTATTTCCCTCTTTGTCAAGCTTCATCTAAAGGAGTGGAAAAAAAATATTTTTTTCACAGAAATACTGTAAAACAAGAAATCAATTTCTAAAATTGTTTGCAGTTGCCTAGAAGTCAAATGGAAAATAAGTTATGAAGAAAAATCAACTTTTTATGCCCTCTCTTCACAGTTCATCCCAATTAAGAAAACCATTGCACCAAATTGCCACATATTTCACTGTGTATACACACCAAACAAAACCAGTGTCATCTGTACAACCACGTTCCTACACAAACTTTGGGATGAAGGCGATTTACAGAGAATCAGACTTAAAATAGAACAGACTAGACTATTTCAGTTGGAAGGGACCTACAATGATCATCCGGTCCGACTGCCTGACCACCTCATAGCTGACCAGAAGTTAAAGCATGTTATTAAGTGCATTGTCCAAACGCCTCTTCAACACTGACAGGCATGGGGCACCGATGACCTCTCTAGGAAGCCTGTCCCAGGGTTGAGCACCCTCTCGGTAAAGAAATGTTTCCTCATGTCAAGTCTGAACCTCTCATGAGGGACGCAGCTTTGAGCCATTCCCACACATCCTATCGCTGGACACCAAGGAGAAGAGATCAGAAGGGCATCTTACATTTTAGACTACAAATTTTGCTATTTCCTCTGGAGCAATCTGAAAAATTTACAAATAAAATTTAAAGAGTAAAGAATACCACAGACTGGGTAGTTAGGCCTTTTGCCCATGTCAAGTATTGCATTAACATGCTATTCAGCTGGCAACCTGCATTTAAATCCTAATCTTAGCACTTGTCATTCAGATTATTCATTTAACACTTGTATTGTCTAATAAAATTATTTTCTTGGAAAAACTGTAAAGTCTGGTTTAATCAGAAAGTTTGCTGGTTTGCTTATAAACCATGTAGCTTAATTGCATATTACTGGCGTTAAAAATAACTTCCCATGAATTAAACATACCTAAGCATACATTCCAGTAGAGCTGAAGCAGGGGTTACATGGCCACAAGGACGTAGCTCCATGCACCTAGTTGTACAATGACTATTTTTCATTCTCAACAAGGAGGCCTTACATTCCCTCACATGCATGAATGAAGTCAATCAAGCAGTCTGCAAATGGCTTTCAGAATAATTTTTAAAAAGAATACATAGAGAGTTTGTTCTTCCCTAAGTCCTATGTTTGCTTAGAACAGCAGCTATCAAGACACAGGAATAATAACTGTAAAACCCATCAGCAAGCCTTGACAAGCTAGACAAGAAACCTTCTGACTGCACCACTTCTAAGAGTTGTCCTGCCTTCACAATTAAAGCAAGAGAACTTCCAGCAGATGCTGGATCTTAGAAAAACATCTCGATGAACACTGCATACCACAACTGGTCCTCAAGTGTTCTACGACAGATGAATCCACCTGCTGTTATGATGCTTTAAGGAGGAGGAAAAAAAAAAGGGAAAAAAAAAGAGGCGCACCACCATCTTGCACAAGCTGTTGGTGGAAACCCCTGTACATACTTACCACGGCAAAAACAGGAGACACGCTAGCTAAGGTGGCTTGGGAGGCCTCTGTTGTGGCATGTTGATAAAATTCACCTGAAGAAAGACAAGACATTTTCTACTTCCAGCATACTGCACTTTGCCTTTAACTATACCGTGCCCTGCCACAAGTCACCTACATAAGGCACTGGCACGGAAACTAAGAAGCATGGATCATGACAAGGCCCCTACCCGCTTGTCGCCTGCCCAGCAGAGCCCACGCACAGGGCCGATACCGCACCGACCGCGCCTCCAGCCGCTCTGCTTTCCCAGTCCCCG